TGTTCTTTTCGCTGATGATGTAAAACTATTCAACACCACAGACAATGCTGCTACCCTTCAAAAAGACCGTTATACGTCAGAATGGTCAAACAAATGGCAACTTCAAATCTTAACAAATAAATGCTCTATCTCACATATTGGCAAAAAAAATAAATCAAAAAATAAAATATAAGCTGAATAGTCAAGACATTGTTGATGACAAAAATTTTGTCAAGGACCTTGGAGTACTCATCTCAAATGATCTAAGTGCTACATAGCCAAAAAGGCATTAAGAGTTGTTAACCTAATCCTGTGTAGCTTTTTCTCCAGTGATATCACTCTACTAACTAGAGCATATAAAACATTTGCTAGACCAATACTTGAATACAGCTCATCAGTCTGGAACTCGCATTACATATCTGATATTAATACAATTGAGAAAGTCCAGAAATATTTTACGAGAAGAATCCTCCACTCTTCTACTCGTAGCAGAATATCTTATGCCACCAGACTTGAAATTTTAGATCTAGACAACCTAGAACCACGCTGTCTTCGGTTCGATCTAAGTATAGTATATAAAATTATATATTGCAATGTCCTACTTATCAATGAATACTTCAGCTTCAACCAAAACAATACAAGAGCACTAAATAGATACAAACTAAAGATAAACCACACCAAACTTGATTGCAGGAAATACAACTTCAGCAACAGTGTGTTCAATGTCTGGAATACTACCTGACTGTGGTTTCTTCCCCAAACCCCAAAATCTTCAACATTAGACTGCCTACTATTGACCTCACCCCTTTCTTAAGAGGTCTGTAGGGGGCATGCATAAGTGCACCAAAACATGCCTACCGTCCCTGTCCTATTGTTTCTTTTTTTTCTTATTCGTATCCATTTCATGTATTTATAACCATGTTTATACTTATACTTGTTATCTAATAATTGTTTGACAAAATAAATAAATAAAAATAAATACGTTCTTGTGTCTGAAAAAAAGCCAAACACTTCAGAGTTTTTATTTTCCAGTCTGTATGTCCCCAAGAGAATAAAAAGTCACTACAAGTTGAACTATTACAATCTGTACAGACATCAGATAAAGATTTGACAGCATCTTGAGACCTAAGATAGAATGATGAGCTTCACTGTAGAGCAGGGCCAGTCTTCTTATTGTATAGTAATGCCTCCCAGATATGTGGGATTATAACACCCATCATTTTTAGCCAGATTCAAGGGGGGAAAAGATGTGAAATTAGGCTGATAACTGTATCATCTTGCTCAGATGTCTGTGCTAACATAAAAATATCCTACTACAAGCTTGCCTTTCTTTACTCATAGCTTTTTTAAAATAATGTTTAATAAGATAATAACTAGACTATCAAAAAAGAAAGTAAAGAATCTTCACAATTTTAGAGAGCTATTTTCTGCCTGGCATGTGTAATCCTTTATCATATAATTTGTGTGCTGTTCTTTTTTAGACATAATTGTTTCTATTCTCAAGCATTAACACTGATTGACTTTAATTTAATGGGTGAAAACAAGAGGGCTGATTCTGAATTTCCGTAATTCTAATGTTCTGCGATGAGAAACTGATTAATGGATTGCCAGGTCACAACTCAGATTCTTTCTGGTCTTTGCAGTGATTGATTACGCAGAAGACGCCACATCTATAATGAACACTACCCATTCTTGAGTGTTCTGCTGTGTGGTATACTTGGAATTTTGCTTGTAGAAAGGAATAAAAAGCAAAGAAAACTGTATGGACTTCTTCTTGGCAGTAATACCAAAGTGGTTTGCCATTGCTTTGTAGCCTGCAGCTGTGGAATCCCAGGGCATCAACCAAGTTATGTTGCAGCGTTTCAAGACCAGCTAAGGTTGGCAGCAGAAGACAGGTGGAGGGGAAGGAAAGGATGAGGGGGGAAAATGTTGCCTTTCTCTTTAAAGGAGAAGAGTGATTCTCCTTTTGTCAGCTGCTAAATCCATTAAGAATCACAGAGTTACAAAGGACCAAAAGATCAACTTGACTATCAAATAGGGTTTGCCTCATGAATAAACAGGAAATTGATAAATCAACTGCCAACTTTTTTGTTTTACTTAATTTCATATGGCAAACAGAAGAACAGATGAGTTACAGAAAGACATTAAATTGTAACAGACTAGCTTCGCCATGAAACTATGTAGCCGGGCTTAGCTTTTGGGGAGGAAAATAAGGGGAAAAAATTCTGCCTACCAGCATCCATCAGTATTCATCTGGCTAGCGTTCTGCCAGTATATGAAAGAGTTGAAGGATGCTTGGAAAGTGAAATAATATTTGCTGTGTGAGTAAAAAGGAGACAGCAAGAAACTTGGGCGTGGCTTAGTTCAACTGTTCTGTACTAAATTGTGAAACTAAAACTGAAACTCCTCTTCTCTGCTTGTGTTTTGCATTAGGAACAGGTTTTTTTTTCAGGTGAGGAGCAGGGAATAGAACTCTTTAGCATCAGAGCGTGTTAATAATAATATATGAAATACTAATGCTCTAATGGTCATTTCAAAAAATCCTTTCTTAGTGAGCACCTAGAAGCCTAGAGGAAGATATGTGGCAAATTTCAAGTTTGTAGGCTTTACAGTTCTGGAGATTATGTGATGACGCGTGAGTGGTATTTCGCTTTTATATGTAGATCTGAAGAAGGCTGATTCATGTATTGTACTAACTTCATCTGAGCCCAAATTAGGAGGCTTCCCTGAGGCCCAGGAAGCCAAAAAATGGAGCATGCGGGGGGATGCTGTGTGCCCCACCACGCTCCATTTTTTTTTTGCCTTCCTGGGCCTCAGGGAAGCCTCCTGGGAGCAAAAATGCCCCCCAGGAAGCTTCCCTGAGGCCCAGGAGGCCAAAAAATGGAGCATGGGGGTGCTGTGCAGCCCCCCACGTTGCATTTTTTGCTTTCCTGGGCCTCAGGTAATGTCCTGGGAGCAAAAATGCCACCCAGGAAGCTTCCCTGAGGCCCAGGAGGCCAAAAAATGGAGCATGGGGGTGCTGTGCAGCCCCCCACGTTCCATTTTTTGCTTTCCTGGGCCTCAGGTAATGTCCTGGGAGCAAAAATGCCCCCCAGGAAGCTTCCCTGAGGCCCAGGAGGCAAAATCAACAACGGAGTGCTGGGGTGTGTGTGCTGCACCAAAAAAAGCCACGCCCACCCAGTCACATGGCCATGCCACTCTGTCTTAATTGCTTCATAAACACCTAAGCTAGTCAATATTCTGTGGTGAATAAGAACTGCACAACTGAAGGCAGACCATACCACTAAATTTGGCTGCAAAATGATTGAATTGCAGTGATATCTCTCCCTTCCCTGGATAATCTAATGTTTTTAAATCAAAGTGCACAGGAAACTTTTTGAATCCTGATTAAGTTCAATCTCTGGCTTTATCTCAGACAAAGTGCTACAGGAAAAGGAAGGAACTGCATCTGGAGTACACTGAATACTGAACACAGACTGAACACTTAACACTACCGGTATTCTGGCAGAATAAGATGTGATCCATACAAAGGTGAAAAGAAGAAAAGTAAGAATGTAGACTAGTATAGACATCTGAGTGTCCTGAAAGAGTTTAGTAATTGGTTAATGGTACTAGCAACATTTCCCATTTTTCCACTAAAAACAGGTTTCTTAAATATAGAAAGCTTCATGTGAGCAAGAATTCTACAAAGAAAATTGAGTTCAGTTCTGATGGCTCCCAAACTCAAAATATGCTCAGATAAATTCTGAGCTTTAATTTTATGTGTGTCTTTTGAAGTAGGATTGGCATAGTTTTTTTTTTTAATCCAATAGGGGAAAAAACACCATTAAGTTTAATGTGTGTTTATAATTGATGTATGTAACAGCAGGATGAGGTGAAAAAACCTTGAATTGGGAAAGCAGATAGTACAATTTGAGATTGCAAGAAGGTAATGCCGAACTATATATTCATTTGCTTGTTAAAGAATAGCTAAAACCAGAAGTTTCTCAGCATTTGGTAAGTAGAAGGAAGTTTAATTTAAAGGAACATGGATAAATTTAATTTCACACCTGCAAGATGAAATGTTATAATCCATTCTACCAACTCCATTTTTTACAATTTAATCCTTTATTTAATCTTTTATTTTATTCTGTTGCACTGAAAGATCAAACTGGAGGAAATGTTACTTCCCTGAAAATCACCAATAGTTAATAGAGTCTATTGAAGTTATTGCCAATAGCCTGAGGAAACTGCTTAATGGAGCATTTATTGGAAGAATTTAGTGGAACAGTGAAATGCTCTTTTCACTCAGGGCAAACATAAAACAAAAAACAATCACAACCTAACTTCTCTCAGCAGGCTTTGAATGATAGACTACATACATTTTTGCTTTTGGAACCTCCCAGACACGTTAATTTTGGGTGCAAGCAGGAAAACATAAATGCACACTAAGTTCTAATGTATGATTTTCCAGCTATAGAGGGTGCAGGTAGAACTTTGTAATTAGGTGAAGGGCTTTTCCTTTATACCTGGTTCTTATACAACTCCCGTGATGTTGGGGCTCTCGTAAAGTAACACTGTTCCACTATTCTGTAACAAACTCTGGACTGCATTGGAGCAGCCCATGCTGTGGTTCTCCTCCTTCCTTCCGCCAGTAGCAACCACTTAGAGACACTTGTGGTGCTGTACATTCCTCCCAAATAACTTGTAGCTTCTGCCCTTGGGTCTAGGTGTTCTCATTCTATCCTCCTGTATAGTCAAGTCCTCCTGAAATCGATAGCTCTGTGCTTGTTTTTGGCTATTCTGATCATTCAATTATTGAAAACAAGACAGTGTCTAGGATTTATGAGCTAGAAAAGAAAGGGAAGGGAAAGGAAGGAAGGCAAAACTTCGGTGTGCATGCATGAGGGATAAATTCAGAAACTGTAACTATGGTATCCCTTTTAGAGAACTACACAATCTGCAACAATGCGGCATCTCCATGCTGGTATATTCAGCTCATCTTGTATCATCAAACTTCAATATGCTAACACAAGTCTTACCTTTTTATGGCTTTGTAGCAAATGATGAAAACTAGAAAGAGGAACACCGGTATGGCACAGCATGCGGCAATGATTATAGCTGGACTTGGCCAGGGCGCTGCAGGGGGGCAAATAGGAACGGTGGGAGCTGTAAAAGATAACACACTTAGTTGAGTCCTACCAAACACAAAGTTTATGATCTGAGGAGCTCTTTTAACCCAGAGTGAGGAGGAAATTACCAAGAAAGTCAGTTTATACCATAGAACATTCTCCACTACCTCAGGTAATAAACTCTATGGTGCTTTCTCACTACATATTATAATTCAGCAGTAGCCAACTGCTATAAAGCTACCTTAAATCCTCACTGGTCCATGCGACTCAATGTTAATAACATTTAGCTTGAGTGTTGTATGAGTCCAACCACTGTGCTTTATGAATTTGGTTTTTTTGGGGTGGTGGTGGTGGTAGTTTAACACGCTCAGTATATCTAGCTAATTGCAGCTCACTATTGTTAACCAAATCAAGCATAACATGATATACAAACTACTGACAATAGCTACGCTGGGTTAAGCAAGAGCATGTCCAAATCTATCTGAAGGTGCCAATGCTTTCTGAAAATGAAACAGATGCTGTGGCACTAAGCTAAAGGCTTGTCTTTAACTCGTAAAACACATGAGTTGAAGATCAGAAATTAAAATGTCTTAAGATGGATGAAAGCCTCATTTCTTAGCAGCTGCCAATCAACCAATCTTTGTTTTCTCAAGAAAAAGCATGCTGCTATATCGACATATTAAACCCAATGAAGAAAAACAGATCAAACATAAATTCCAAATCCTGCAACCACTGTTACAATGATCACATGTGGAGATTTCTTTACAGGAATTCTGGGGATAGTCCCTCCCACTCCCCAAACTCTTTTTAGTTCTTTATAGGGATTACTTTCTTTTTGTCACTTTCTAAAGCACTTGGAAATTTGGGTTTCAAAACTATATATATAAAGAAGGGATTCAGCTCTAAAAAATGTATTTGTACTGATATTAACTAAAAGATTTCATTCTATCATGAAGCTTTAAGTGGCATAAACATGGCTACTGAATTTAGTCCTTAATAATTTATGATAATTATATAATTAGGCAGCTAGTTGTTAAAGGACATTACACGTCTTTATAATTAATATGAGATTTGAATCCAAGACTTCCCAAATCAAACCCAATTCATGAAATAATATACTGTATATTCAAAATTAAACCTGAGTTCAATGGGGAATATTTTTCAAGGAAGCCTGAATAGGAGGTCTTTATATAGTATTAGTTTTCCAGAGAGGATTTAATTTATTATTAGGGAAACAATATATACATGTATTAATTACTTATCACGAATAGTATCTTCTGGATATTGCTTTAATCGACTTACAATCACAATTGAGCACAAGATTTCTGTTGCTAAGAGAGACAGTTGTGAAGTGAATTTTGCCCCATGTTATGGCCTTTCTTGCTACAATTGTTAAGTGAATCACTGCAGTTGTTAAGTGAATCAGGTTCCCCCATTTTGCTTGTCAGAAGGTTGCAAAAGGTGACCACATGATCCCGGGATATGGCAAGCATCATAAATATGAGTCAGTTTCATCAAGTGTCTGAATTTTGATCATGAATTCATCCATGGGGATCCATTGATCCATGGGGATTCTGCAATGGTTGTAAGTGTGAAAAACAGTCACAAGTTACTTATTTCAGTGCCTTTGTAACTTTGAATGGTCACTAAATGAACTGCTGTAAATCCAAGACTATCTGTACTGCTAAATAATATTTTACTTTTTTGTAGCATACATAAAAAGTAGTTTTCTACTAATCAAGTTAGTCCATTTTCCATTTATTCTTACTACTTGATCAGACCAAATAAGTTTTTTGAACTTCAGCTATATATGGTTTATTAAGAGGACAGTGAAAGACCATGGCATCTTCTACATATTCCCGGAAACTGCTATGGCCCAAAAAAGGTGATTGGCCAAACACCAAATCATTTGTCATAGCACCAAGTTATCTGTCTATGATAAATAATAATGATATTGTCTGCCCCTGTTCAAGGCAAAGATTATATTTTATTTGTAACACAAAATAAAATAGAACAAATCATATATTTGGACAACTTTTAAGCAATATTTATTTGGGGGGAATTATAATTGGTATATTATTATTATTATAAATTCTGTTGTTGTCTAAATATGCTGTAGGTCAAATAAAAGGATGCCATCTAAGACTGAACATCTGAACATATGCCATCTAAGAAATGAATTTAGCATTAAAGAAATGATGGATCTTTAACATTTGTATTAGTGGGGATCATTTTAAATATATGTGCCTTATGTAGTATTCATGAACGCACTTCAGCAATTCCTTGGCATATCCAGAATGTCATCACATCAACTTCGCTTCATTGTCCCTGACCCTTGGAAATGCAGCTGGCAACACCTGAGCAGTCATGAAAGACTGGGAGAACTGGATCAAATTTTATAGCAAGAGGAAAGACTGATAACAGCATTCTAGTTTTCGACATATGGGTCACAATGAATAATTCTTTGCAGGACACCAGATTGAAACAATTATTTGTGAAAAAACACAGGCACTCAAAAAAGCTGGCTTCTCTGCTAGCCAGGGGACTATCCAGAAAATAACAGGTCTCAGACCAAACAGGTTTGTGGAGGAAAAGACAAACTGTGTAGACAATATTATGCATTTCACAAAAGTATAAAAAGTAAATCATTCTTCAAGCTGAGCTTTATTCTTAGAGAGATGTAGTTGTTGTTTCCTCAGCAAAAACAGAACAGCTATGTCAGTTGCTTTCTTCCCTGATATGCCTAAAGATTTCTCACAATGCAGTCCTTGGCCTGAGATTCCTAATGGAATCCTTTCCAAAAGCTAAACAGGACTACATTATTTTTATTATCTTTGTTGTGACAATACTTTATACTCAATTTAAATGTAACAGGAAAAGATGTGGTATCATTTTGTGCTCAAGGATTGCAATCTTTGTTTTAAAGGAGGTATAGAGACACATTGGGCAGAACCACCTCACATTCAATAACCTTTTTAATAAAGTTCATATTCATAATGTTTAAACCTGTAATTTAGCATAGAAGGAGAGCAGTGAATTTGGTAAAATTGCATTTTACATAATAAAAAAAAACTTGCAGTTTTTTTTTAAAAAATCTGTGGAATTTTCATGGAACTTGAATAATGTAAATTCCTAGCAACCATCCAGAATAATTGGAGTCAGGCAACATATAATAATTAGCAATCGCATAACACAATTGCCATAATTATTTACTGGAATATATGTAAAAATTATCAAGGACCTATAATGAAAAATTGCTGGCGACATAGAGTTGAAAAAAGTATCTGAAAATGAACAGTTAAAACATTGTGGGATTTCTAAATGCTAGCTGATAAGGTCTTGGTCATAACACATCAGATTTAATTGTGGTTGAAAAGAAGAAAGTGTAGATAATTGATGTGGCAATCCGAGGAGTTAGAAGAAGAGCAGACAAAGAATTGGAGATCACAAAGTATCTAGCTCTGAAAATCAAAATTGAAAGATGATGGCATAAATCAGCGGTGTGATTGTCCCAATGCTTATCAGCACACTGGATGTCCTACCCTCACCCCCCAAAAAAATTATATGGCATTGACAAAATTTCCATTCGTCAATTACAAAAGGCCATACTGCTACATCTGCACATATTACGACATCCAAATCTTATGGGAACGAAATAAAAAAATGACTGGCTGTACCATTTAAAGAAAATTTATATAAACTGTTTTACAGATGGCACATGCCACCATCAAGATTGGCCACAACGTATCCAAAGCTTTCCCCCATATGTTGGAAGTGCAACAAAGAAAAGGGAATGTATTATCATTTACGGTGGAATTGCAAGGAAGCACAAAAATTTTGGCAAAAAATTCAGAAATGGTTAGAAGAGATATATATAATTAAAATAGAATATAGACCTGATTTTTTTCTGTTAGGAATCAATGTGGGGAAATATGACAAGGACATTATATATTTAATAATTCATATAATCACAGCTGCGAGATTGGCTTATGCACAACAGTGGAAATGTAAACAAACTCCAAGTGAATTTGAAATAATTAGGAAAATCTGGATGTGTGCAGAAATGGACAAATTGACAAAGGTATTAAAAAATAAGGATGAATTGGACTATTACAAAGTATGAGATAACTTTTATGGTTGGTTAGAAAAGAAAAAGGATCAAGACAATAAGAAATGATTAAATGTATATATATATAATATATGGATCTTTGGTTGTTCGGGTTTTCTCCCGCGTAAGATTCGAAGTATCTAGGCAACGTTTCGATGAAGTCTCATTCATCATCTTCAGGCTTCTGTCTCCGGCTCTGTGCTTCTCAGAGTAATGTGAGATTGCAGCTGCTTCCTCCTTTTAACTGCCAGTGGGGGTGGGACTTGATTGGGTGGGGGCTTGGCTGTGTTCTGATTGGGTGGGGGTGTGTTCTCATTGGTAGGGGGTTTGGCTGTGTTCTGATTGGTTGGGGGGTTAGCCGTGTTCTGATTGGTTGGAGGCGTGTTCTGTTCAGGTGGGGGCTTGGTTGTGCTCAGGTTAGTCTTAGTTGCTGGGGGATTTGAGCTGGTGAGTTGTGATCTTGCTGTTTGGCTTCGAGTTCGTGGTCCTTCTGCATCTTCATAGTGGGTGTCGGTTTGCTTCATGTATGGCTCGGAGGGGTTTGAAGTGGGTAGTGATGCAGCTGCCGTGCAGCTTCTGGTCCATGGTCGTGTCTCATCTTCTGAGTGGGTGGGAGTCTGTTTTCTACATGGAAGTGTGGTGGTGGCATCTTGTGTGGCTCTCATGGGTGTGGGTCTGGTGTCCTTCTTCATGTTAGGTACTCGTCTGTTCATGAGGGCGGGTTTCCAAATGGCTGGAAGGCGGGAGGTGTCATCTCGTTTGTTCATGCTGTGTGGGCGTTTTTCTATCTCTATGGCTTCTCTGATTATTCTGCTGTTGAAGTGTTCGGTTTTGGCGATAGTTCTGGTATTTTTAAAATCAATTTCATGTCCTGTGGCATTGAGGTGTTGGACCAGGGAAGAGGTCGTTTCTTCTTTTTTGATTGAGTT